GAGAATATAATACTACTCACAGCACAACTGAAGCAGTGCAAAAATGGCTGTTTAGTGCTATTAAAACATTACTTGGCAAAGAGAGATTTTGGTTTTTTAACAAATTGTGTACGAGCTCACCCCAAATTAGTAATGTTAAGATAATCTCATTATTCACCAAGTGAAAACAGCATCTGTTTTCAGTACAGACGCTCAGGAGGTGTGTTTCCGCTTCTGCTGGAATAGTGGCTGCAGGACGAGTATATGGACTCCTCTGTTGGTGGTGGGTTTTTTTGTTTTTTTTTTCCCCTCTTGGTTTTGATCTGGCCTTATTTATTAAGAGGGAGCAGATCTGCGAAGTTGACTGTGTTTCTTCCTATCGCTTTTGGTGAGGCGGTGTGATAATATGAAGGCTTTAATTGGCTGCTAACTTGGGACTCAGCTAAGAGTATTAACTCCTTTTGCTCACTGAACCAGTAATAAGCTTCCTAAATTGTTCCCTTTGCTGAATTCTCCAAACTGACAAGAATAGGCTACGGCTTGCCTGCTAGGGAACTAAGCCATTCGCCCTCTCCCTTTTCTCTTTTTTCAGCTGAACGTTTCCTACGTCTATACAAAGCTTTTGTACTCAAACAAGCCCTTCGCCCTTGGTTTCTGAGCATTGTGTTGAAGCAGTTGTGGTACCCAAGGACTCGTTTTGGAAAGTGATGTATCAAACACAAATCGTGTAGCATGACCAGATGTTGTTATTTTAAATGTGGCAAACAAGTCTTTAATGTTTTAAAGCAGAGAGCTTCATCTGAGGGCTCAGAAATAGTATCTTTACAGAAATAAATTCTTTGCAGACAGGCGTGTGTGGGGTGAGAAAGGGAAAAAGTGTTCCTTAAAGGGGGATTCTGAGGCTATCAGGCCAGAACGGCTTTAGCTAAGGCTGAGAGCAAGTTAGTCAGTATTTGCTTGTTATAAGCTTACTGGCTTGTAATTGCTTGAGTGTTTGTGAAGGATGCTGTACGTTATATACTTTGCATTTTCGCAACCTTACCCCCGTAACTAATAATAGTGGTTTCTCTACTTTTCTAGTAAAAGAAATACACTGACCACTTCAGAGAAATACATATTGGAATTTCTGATTGCATAAATAAAAACAAGCGGGGAATTCTTTTTCTGTCAGTGGCTGTCAGTAGCAAACTTGGAAGGATAATTTAAAAAAGTCTGTAATATTCAGCTTTCCACCTCTCCTGGAAAATGGATAAACAGAAGCAAGTTTTCTGAACGGTGCCACAAGTTAAGCTGACTTTAGTCATAACAAACATGGTGCCCTGCACATCATCTGTGTAGACCAGACGTTTTGATGTGGAAGGACTTACTCATGCACTTGAATCCTTGAATCCTTTTAGATAAAAATGTGCTGACGTTATTATAGTTTGGCTCAGGTCACTTTCAAGGATATTCACATAACAAAAATATTTATTCAGATAATCCTCCCCTCTATTTCGTGTTAGGGGTGTGTGTGTTTAAGAACTAATCAGAAGTATTTTTTAAAATGTAACATTCAAACTTTGCTTTAATGATCCAAGGCATTTGCGCACTGACATTGCTTTCAAGTTTCCCGAGTGTAAGGTTGGTTGGTTGGTTTGTTTGTTTGTTTTACTTTCTGCATATTTCTTTAACCAGCCAATTATCAATGCTGACATACATTTGAAGGGAAAGGAAAGGCTTGCAGGAAATGTTTCAAGTTAAATTTCACTTGTCCTTCTTCCCATTGTCACATTCCCCCTCTTGCCAAACTCTATCAATTGATCTTGTGGAGGAGGTATTAATCCTGTCTCTCAATATTTCTACCCGTCATGCCTTAGTGATGATGAAAAAAATTGAGCAGGGTGTTTTTTCTATTGACAAAATACTAGAAGCTTGGATTTTTCATTATTCATGTAGTTGCCTCAGACTACTTTCATTCACTTGATTAGGCTGCTCTCTGATGCTTAAAATATTCCAGGATCCAGCTGCAGCTCTGTGCCAGTAGTTTCAGGAAGCGCGTGACGTTTGCCTCTGGCTCACCAGAGGTACACCTCTTCCTTCCCGCTGCAGCATGGCCAGCACCCTCTGCTTGTCCCTCTCATCTTTCCCCCTCTGAAGGATCAGTCCTCAGGATAAGACACTGGATTTTGTTTTCCCTTCATTTCTTTTGGAAACCAGCCATTTAACCTACAACCCTGCCCTGACCTTCAGAGGACAAACTCTAGAAAGTTAGGAGCAAATTATCTATTCACGCCAGCAAAACTGAAGTTTGGGGTAAGATCTAGTATGAGATTTAGTAAGTCAAAGCGGTATGCTATTTCTCTGTGTTGCTTGGAGTTACCCTGTGGGGGGAGTGCTACCACGGGGCTGGCAGGCCATGTTGAATTCCTCATGGTACAAGGCACAAGCCTGTTTTTGGGTGCCCAATTTGCTGATGAGAAATGACGCGGGAGCAGGCTGCAGCAGAGGGGAGCAGTACTGCAGTAACAGCCGAGGAAGGCTCACAGGAGTTTCCAAGCAGCCTTCCCCCGTGAACGGGATGGATGTGTGACGAGGACAGGCTTGTGATCCTTACGAAAAATGGCTGTTTGATAGCTGAAGGCCTTTCAAACACCGCAAAATAGCGGGCAGATACTGGGTGCAGGGATTCGCTTGCAGCTGGCGCACTTGAGCAGAGCAGCACTCGCCCTGCCGAGCAAGCTGGGTGAGCTACCCTAGCGCCTTGGGGCTTCCCGGGGCAAGTCTCCAACCAGGGGAGAAGATGCAGCAGTGGTTGCAGGGGATCCGGGCTGGAAACCACAGTGCAGGACTGCAGCACAAGGCACGCCGGACCTGGCCGGGACACTTTTTGTTTGAGGCGCAAGGTTTTGAGGGGAGAGGATGGTTATGTGAATTGCTGTATCTCATGGCACAGGCATGCGGGACGGGCCAGAGAAGGGGCATACATGCATAGGCAGGGCCAAAAGGCAGGACAGTATTTTATGTGGAAGTGAATTAGTTCAGAAAAGAAGGGTGGGGGGAACACTTGCCCTTTTCTGTTTGTTGCTTTGTTTTTAATAAAAAGAGAGAGAACTGCTTAAAACCAGGAGAAAGAACAGAGGCCAAGATATTAATACTCTCCACAGCAAAATTCCCCTAAGCTAGGAACAAGCGAGAAGTGCCATCTTGGCAGCAGTACATGCACACCCATATACCTCAGGTATATATAAATGCAGCCTGTTTTCTTTACTATATAAAATCTAAAAATAAACACTGGATAACATTTACCACCGTTGAAGCTCAGTTTGTGTAGTGTTCTTTACACCGCAAAATGTTTAACGCAACTATAATGTGTTCGGTGCTGTGTATGTGGGCAAATCACGATTCTGTAGTGAAAACTGCTGGGGAGCTGCTGTGTTGGGATGGGAGGCTCTTGTGTGGTCGCTTGTGGTCTGCCTTGCATATAGAGGTTATAGCAATGTTTTTGCTGTTGATCTTTCAGATAAACTTGTGAATCAGCGAGCATCATGGCTTGAGAATGGTGTTAGATGTGGATAAGTTACAAATAAGCCTACCTTGCAATCTGTAATGAAAAAATAAACACAAGAGGTGTGTAAAAAGATAAATGTTGATACAGTGCTCCAATGCATTTATCACTCTTTGCTTGCAGAAAGTGGAACACATTTTTTACATTTTGCTTTCCCTTCCCTACCCCTCCCTCCTATATACATACATATATAAAAAATGTTTCCAGATCTTACTTTTAATCCTATAAATCAATCTAACACGTGTGAGACAATAAACAAAATGCAAAGACTAATCCAGCCTTTTCTGGTTGTTCGCATAATAGACAAATATTTCCAATTGAGCTCTTTACCAGTAAGAAAAACAATCTTGAAATAGTGACATATTCACTGTTTAAAGTATATATATTTCTGCCTGAAAGGAGAATGTTTACAGAACTCTACTCACTATTCTTTCTATGGAAGTTAGCTTAGTATAAACGGTGATACTAGACCTACTAATTTTTTTTCACAGGGTTAGCAGATGGAGAATGCCTAGAAAAACCCTTGGATCCTCTTCCAGTGAGAGGAAGGAAGCTCAGTTCCTTACATCATTAGCTGCTGGACATCTTTGTTAGTCATTTAAAGAGTGAAATTATGAGTGACCTGTATGCATGTATTGTTACTTTTCGAAGAGGAGAAAAAAGATATCATCTCTTCAGATACTTTTTAGGGGAGTCATCTTTATGCAATGATCATGAGGTCCACTTAAGTAGTTCTCAAAAACATCCTTGGGAATTCCTTTTCAACGCAGAAAAAGAGAATTGTTTTAGCTTCAGTGGCTATTATGAGCAAGACTTCTTAGGGAGCTGCACTTTAATTTCTATTTCCAAAAAACTTCTGCTGAACACTTTCTGAAAACAACTTTAGCACTAGCTATGGTATTACAGTTGCAAACTGCCGTGATTTTATTTCTCTGCTGTTCTTCTTTTTGTCTCAGCTGCACTATGCAGGACATTGCCTTCCATCTGGCTAGCTCTAAATGGTATTAATAGAGTTGTTTGCAAAGCAGGCTAATTTTTTCATCTTGAAAATTTCCCGTTTTCTAACTAAAACTTTTCAAATTTCCTCCTGGGTCTACTTTTATCTATTTAAGAACTCTGCTGAAGTTACATTTTTTTTTGTTTTGTCTGATTGGTTTTCTTATTTATATAGCCCTTCATTGACTGGGCTTTGGTAGACACTTCATCTTGGTCTTTTTGAGCTGTAGATTTTAATGTGCAAAAAGCTCTCACCTTTTCATTGAACTGTGCTGATGGATTGCACAGGGTAGAAGCCTGCCCTCCAGCATGTGTGTTTGAGAGTCCCTTTCTTGCAAGACTTGCTTTTTAAGGTGGTAGAATAAAAATGCTTCTGTTTCTTCACTCAGAACTGGATCTCTGGTTGCACCTCTGGCGTTTGGTGTGGAGAAATCTTCATAAGCACTATGTCCTAAAGCTTAAGAAGAAAGGTTAATACGGGAGAAAAGAATGTTGCTCTGTAGGTATCAAATTTTTCTTTCCACTAGCATCTTATTTATTTGATCACCTCTCCCTAGGTATACAGAAGAAGGCGGCTGTTGACTTCTTAGGGTGTGGGTAATGGAAGAGAACCCTTTCCCTCCTGTTCTGTTCATAGCTGATGAGCCTATGTGCTGTTAGCAACAGGGTCATTTGGTGACTGCTGATTGCTTGTGCACCTGTAGTCATTTTCGTGTGAGTCTTTTTAACGTGGATCTCTTTTGTATCTAAAGCATTTGGCAAGATTGTAGGCTTGGGTAATGGGCATATGTGGCTTACGAGGACTGAAATACAAGAATGTAATAATACCAGTTTGGAACGTTTTAATTCCTGTCAAATGTACTTTATGCTTTATAGGCCTTCTTTAACAAGAATTAAGTATTGCTGCAAAGCATGTTTGTTGCAGTCTTTGATCCACAAAAAGCTTGGCCTTCAAGAGGCATTTCACCTGTGTTTAAAAAAAGAAAAAATTGTCTGAAACTTAGTATGCTATTTACTTTTGAAGCAGCTGTTATTTTACTCACTTGTCATCTGCTGGGCAGCCTAGTCGGATAGCACTGCTTATTAATTTTTTTGTTTGTTTGTTTTATGCAGCGAAAAATCACTTTGGGGTTTCGCGTCTTGAAAATAGTGTGCTATAGTGCCTTTTTTCACAGCAGGAGCGGGACTGCTCCCTGGGGAAGGACAATGTCAGGCTGGGTCCCTCCAGGATGCTCTGCCCTGTCTGTAGGCAGGGGTCTGCAGGCGCCGGGGCTGGGCTCAGCCCACCTGTGGCGTGGCCCAGGCGAGACAGGGTCGGGGTGCCCTCGTGGGGAGCTCCTGGGCCCCAGGCAGAGGGAGCCGAGGTGGGGGCCAGGCCTCTGGGGCCCTGGCGGCAGCTTTGTTCATGGCGAGAAATACGTCATGAGATGCGTTCAGCAGCTCAAATGCTGAGTAAGTTTAAACTTGACATATAAAAATACTTGTTTGTAACACGGTTAAGGGAAGAGTAGCGTGGCATCAGGCTCATAGCTGTGTGAGAGGTGTCGCTGAAAGTGGACTTGTGTAAATCCTCTCTTAGTAACTGAAAAGACTGGCGAAACGCAATGGGCAGACGGGTGCCCAAGGCTGCCTGCACTCCTCCTCTCCAGGAGGTCTGTTAGTTTGGGGAGGGGGAGGAGAGCTCCTTTGACCCTGGCTTCTGTGGAGACCACTGAGGTTTTTAAAATAACGTTTTGTTTTGTTTTTGTTTTGTTTTGAAATTCCTTTTGATTAACCCATCCTATTGTTCTGCGTCTGTGCAGTTTGTATACACAACAAATTATTAATCAAGGGTTCCAGGTAATACTAAATGTCTTTAGCAATTCCCTATCACTTGTAATTTAGTGTATATCGCATAATGCGGGTTTTTTTTTTTTTTTTCAAACAATTGTACAAAACTCATACTTACTACTGCAACAGCCCAGTCACTTTTGAGGTAGAGCATAGCTTTTGTTTTTAACTAAGTCGTAGTGGTAGAACATGCTTATATTCAGCTGAAAGGTCAGCAGTGGGAGCCTGACAGGTAAAATGTCTGGGAAACCAATGAGCCTACCAGCATTTCCTCCGGGGGTTGTGGGACCCTTTTTTTTTTTTTTTTTTTTTTTTTTTTTTTTTGCTCCGCAGACGTGTTCTGCAAAGCAGTTCATGCAGTGCTGCATTTGGGGAGTCGTGATGAAACAAGGCAACAGGAGATGTGATACATGCTACATCCTAGGTAACTTGATATGTTATTGTAAACCAAAAGAAAAGTGATGAAAAGGTACCCAAACTCGAACCTACTAATTTAATAAAATGTACCGGCCTTCTGGAAGAAAAAAACTATTTTGTTTTTTCTTTTTTAATGCAATTTCCTTAACGCTATTGTTCAGTTGTGCTGGACTGCCAGTGTACACCTGCAACAGAGCTGAGAGAATGCTTCAGGATCCAGACTGAGAATTATTTAAAATAATTGAAGATAAACTTTCCTGGAATAAGAAAAGTTTCATATCTTTCTTCAGTCCATAGTTGTAATGTAAGTTCTCACAGCCTGGGCAGCATGCGTTTTCTGGTTGTCTGAGTAGAAACCTCAGCAAGGTATTAACAGCAAGGACATGAATTCTAGGTATGTACTCAGCTGTGGAATGACTATCCAGCAATGTTTATTGGTACAAGCATCATAATAACTGAAGTACTATATTAAAATTAAACTCTTCTGTCTTGATGGTTTGTTAACAGGGAAAGAAAAATCAAGCAGGAAGGAACACAATTTGAGCTTTATCTCTTGGGGTAGTGCTAAGATTGAGGGGGGAGCAAACAGTTGTTTTAATTTTTAAGGATTACTTTGCCTTTTTTCCCCCCAAAGCAGATTCTAAGTTATAAGCTTTTGCTTTTAAACACCCACCCTGTGTATGATGTATAGCAGCCAAATAAAGCTACATTTGTTTTATTTGCATAATCAGGCAGGTTAGTTTTCCTGCCAAGAAGCTGTTTTAGTCAAACCACAATTACACGTGTTAGAAAAGTGGGAGAAGGAGGAACAATGAACAAAAAAAGTAATTTTTAAATAGAAAATGCTATTTAAGCCACATACAGGCTCATCGTAGACTTACAAATTAGACTCTAAGCACACATTAGAAGAAATTAAACTAATTAAGTTTCATCTTCCAAAACATACAATTACTTTGTATTATAAATAGATCCCTTAATTGATAAATCATCATTCTAGATTTTTCAAAGTCAATTAGAACAAAGTAGCATTTGTTCACAAAGTATCACACACAAACATAAGTGACCTCTAATTTCACCGTGCATTTATCTCTGTTGTCCTATTTATGAAGAGCTTCGTTTATGTATACCGTAAGACACACACACACACACCACACATTACTAGACTGCATTTTATCATGATATAAATCTGTACACTAAGAAAAAAAGTAAATTTCCAATTAGCATTGGCATATTTAGTGTGGTGTCTCAAGAACTTGCGAGTGTGAATTCACCAACTGCCATCAACTTTAGTACACTTATGGTACTGTTCACTTGTGCAACTGTGTCTTCCTTTCCTGTTGCAGCTTATTACGTTACAGGCAAATCATTTCTCTCGGTTCATCTCTGATCCAATTTTTAGCTGAACTGCTGATGATTTGATAAACTGCAAGCACTAACCATTTCCCGTTCTGCTTTTTATAAATAACAAAAAATAAATTACCACTGAAAATTGTCTTTCCGTTATTATTGACCAGTTTATCTCCGCAGTTTAGTGTTGTGGCACTGGATTAAACTTCTTTTAAAGTGCTAGTTTTATATGTTGTCCCTGTTTTTCTTTAAGCCCATCAGTTCAAGTGTGCCAGGTCACTAATTAGATGCTGTGAAAATCAGTACAATGTAATGTCAAATGATTGTATTTCTTGCAACATTTAAACTGCGTGTTTAGCTCTTTTGGCTAATCTGTGTCCTCTCTCACGTTTGTTGTCTTGGTTTTGTGCAAGTCACTCAAAGTAATATGCAGAAGAGATTTCAGTTTTCTCTGAAATGTTAAAAAAAATGAGCATACAAATTTCTGAATCTATTATTTTTTAGCAACTTCCATAATTTTCCATAGATTTTTCTTAAGTTGTCGTCCTTTTCCTTTTTTTCCTAAGGCCATTCTATTGTGACTAACTGGAGCCCCGAAGACAGAAAACCCTTGATGATGTAGTGTCCCTGTTCACTGAATGTACTGTGTTGCTCAGAGCATGCAAATGGATGAAGGACTTTGTTATGTTTTTAAGTGCCTGGCTGCAATTTCATGAATTCAGTCTTCTCTTCTGTATTCGTTTCGTTTCAAAAGAAAATGAGGGACAGAGGATCACACTTACCTGTCTGTCCATTCCTCTTTCTTCCCATCAATACTTCTTGAAGCCATCAGCTAACTTCAACCAAAGTTGACAGAAATACAGTCCAAAGGGAGCCGTGTTCCTACACAGATGGTAAAAACAGGTGATGCCACAGAATGCAGTAGGAGCTCACTGCATATTAAATGCCATAAAATGCACTGCTGTCAGGAGGGAGTTAGTTGTAAATGTCTCAGCCTTCAAGGAAATTGCAAAAGAAACTTACGTCTTCATAGACACCAGCGAATCTGGTGTATAGGCACAGCTCCATAGGAAAGCGGGCTTTTTAGTGCCTCATAGAAAATTTTCCAGATCATGTGTTTGAAGAACTTAAGTTACCGAAAAACTAATAGAGCATTCATCTTGCGTTCCTAGAGTTGTATACAGAGGCATAAGGACTAATAAACATATTTTGTCTATGTACAAAACAGATTTTCTTACACTGTGATGGTAGAACCATACAAACATTTTAATAAAGATAGCCGTAATTTTGAGCAAATACAAAACACTTTTTTTTTTTGTTAGCAGTAGTTCATTTTAAATGCTTAATTTTTGTGTAGCACTTTAAAAGTTTCGGGACATTGATATTGATTCATTAATTCTAGCACTGTGCCAATATTGGACTCTATTCGAAATCAAGTTAGCTTTCTCCAAACAGTTGAAGGATTGACAGAAATACTTCAAGAAATGTCATTCTTTAGATATTTGGATTTTCTTAAAAATAGTGTTTGAGGGCAGTGTTTCTGGTCCTTGAAATTAATTTAGATAATAGTCAAAGCAAATGTAAGCGCACACGGCTCTGTGTGTGTTTGCATGTGTGTATACACACACACACACTCTGTACATTTTATATATATATATACACATATATATACACACATGCACACACATAAAAGACTATAAAATTATTTATGCCAAGGGAGGTGCCAGCAGAATCCCTTTAGTTCTCCCCCAGCACTTGCAGTGCCTTGTTCACATATTCCCGCTCTGGACTTCTCCTGAGCGTGGGCTGTTAGGACAGAGAAGCAGTCATGTCGTGGCAGTGAAAATTATGCATTCCTGACTTAGATATATCACTCAACTTCTCTTTGTCTTTGGGCCATGAATG